GTGGGCAAACCTCTAAAATGATTTCACTGATGAAATCAGGAGAAGAACAGATAGAGACAGACAAGAGGAGACTTGAGTGATGGTTTGTTTGTCTGTGTGTGTCCTGCACCATTGAAGAAAAAGTTCCGTTTTACAATATAAAACCGTTTATCGGCAAAGCCTTCCGTTTTTCCATTGTGTTAATTTTTTTACTTGGCACTTTTTAAGTTTGTGTGTGTGTATTTTTATATATTTAATATTTTTGCAGTTTTGGGAATAAAAAGCTTTTAATTATTCATTTTAATTGGAAAAGGGAGTGGTGAGATTGACGAATGGCTGAAAATCCAAGAGCGACGGGGGTTCCAGTGACCCCCAGACCCCTCGCCTAAAAACTTTTCTGAAATGATGCCTCTGCTTTCACTTCAGCACTGCCACCCCCACCCCCATGTAGAAGTCAAACTGAAGTCCTGTAGCTCAGTGGTTAGAGCACTCGCTTTGCAAGCAAGAGACCTGAGTTCAATTCCAGGCAGAGGGCGAAACCTTGGGCAAGTTTCCTTACTCCACACACCTAATAATAATCCCTCCAAAACCAAAAACAATAATAAATTGGTCATTTTCAATCCACGACTGTTTGTGGGACATTGCTGTGCGCAATTGGCTGCCGCGTTCGCCCACAAATATACAGTCAATTCACTTTACAGTATATTCTGTGAAGCGCTTTGGGACGTCCTCCCGACATGAAAAGCGCTATATCAAATGCAAGGATTATTATTATTATTATTATTAAACTCCGCCGATAGGAACGAGTAAGGAATGGGTGAAGACTCATGTAGAGTAAAAACACCAGCACTGACTATTTGGGCCAAAGGCGTGCTTCCGCACTGTACATTCTTTGTAACTCTTTGATTGTTTGTACATATGTAAACTACGCAGAATAGTTTCAGCAGAAGCAAAGCTAGGTGTAGCTGAAATTCATAATGAGCAAGAAATAGGTTCCTGAGAACATTCGATAGAGATAAGGCAATCAGAATATTTGTGAGAGTCGCTGAAGGGTAGGAAGGACAGAGTGCAGCAATGAAGGCATGTTTTTTGGACTGGGAGGGTATACTCAACTGTAAGGAATGGAAAGAAGTCACCCTCCTAAAGTCTGTTTACACATGTAAGTCTTATACGTACTTTTATCTAGTTTAAAATTACAACCTCAGGGGTCTTTGCTATATATATCTTACATGGAATTCAATATGTTTTAATTGGGCCTTGGAGAATGCTGATTTTGTGTTTCTTCAGCAGATTGTGACCTTAAAAATGATTTTATAAATACACATTTTTATTTAAATACCAGTCCTGGTGACTAGAAATCCACAAGATTGACTCTGTAGTTAAAAGAAAAATGGTGATTCAGTAATACAGCCCTGGAGGGAGAAACCACTTTCCTGGAGTCAAGAGGGGTGTTCAGTCCCAAACACGTCGTGAAAGAACTGTTTTTAAATGCAATTCCTGTAAGGTTTCTTAATTGTCACTGGTGATCGATGGAATGCAGTTATAAATAGTACAGTACCCTTGAGGTAATTTTTCCCATTCTAGAACAAAAACACAAGTCGCTGGGAACACTCAGCAGGACAGGCGGTATCTATGGAGAAAGGAAAGTGAATCAAAGTTTCTGGTCCACCATCCTTTGTCAGAACTGGGGCATGTTGGGAGGGATAGGCTCTTATGGGCAAAAGGGAGGCAGGGGTAGGAAAGAAAGGAGAAAATGGGGTAGAGGACAGTGGATGATGTGTTGATGATGCAAAACAAAGGTGGGGATTGTAACAAAACAGGGGAGTAGAGGTGTTAATAATGCAAAAAGAGGGGTGGAAATTGCAACAAAATAGGCAGAACAGAGAGAGAAAAGGTGTGTCTGGACCCAGATGATGTGGTAGTGGTCAAAAGAGGGGGACGGTGAGCTGTTAAGGTCTGAAATGATTGAAATCAATATTGAGGCCAGAGGGCTGTAAGGTCCTTAGCAGATAAATGAGGTGCTGTTCCTCGAGCTTGTGGTTCACTGAAACAGCGTAGGAGACCATGGATGGAGAGGTCAGAGTGCAAATGGGAGGGAGAGTTGAAGTGAATAAGAAACCGAAAGCTCAGGGTTGTGCTTGCAGACAGATGGAGGAGTTCGGCAAATTGATCACCCAATCTGCGTTTGGTCTGCCCAATGTAGGGGAGGCCACATCGTGAGCAGCGAATGCAGTGAACTACATTGGTGGTAGTACACGTAAATCGCTGTCACACTTCAAATCTGTGTTTGGGTTAATGTGTTTTTGCATCATTAACACCTCTTTAACTCATCATCTCCTGTGCTCTACCCCATTTTTTCCTTTATCTTCCTTGCCCTACCTCTCCCCCTCTGTTAGCCCTTAAAAGCCTCTCCCTCCCAACATGCCCCAGTTCTCACGAAGGGTCGTGGACCCGAAACTTTGACATACTTTCCTTTCTCCATAGATGCTGCCCGACCTGCTGAGTGTTCCCAGCGACTTCTGCTTTTGTTTCAGATTTCCAACATCTGCAGTGTATGGTGTTTTCTTCCTATTCTAATTCTGCATTTACATTGCAGGTTTGGTTGATGAATTACCATCTGGGTGACGTTTAGGATCAGTGTCAGTTGATGTGTGCAGTATGTTGCAACATTTGATGTAATGTGGTAAAGGATGTAAAATGGATTAGGATCCCTGGGCTATCCTCAACCGGTTCCCAGATTTAGTAGTAGTAGTACAGTAATATGTGTGATTTATGCTCTGCATCAATGTACCTGCTTCCAGAGTCCAAAAGCAGAACTGGAGGTAGAATTTTGCATTGGCAGAACTTATATTTTAATGTTAAAGTCCATTGAAGTTAATATTTAACTGCCTAATGTGACATCTTAAATATTGGTGAATAAGTAAGTTGAGTGGAGTTAATTGGAAATGTTGATTTACTGGAGGTATCTCATCAGCAAATAGGTCAACTTATTGTTAAAACCGTAATTGTAACTGCAGATGAAAGCCATAACGAGAACAATCACTGCTTTTGTGTAACCATCAGACTTCAGGGGCCTCTTTTTCCACATTCCTGTCAGGAGATGAGCAGAAGTCTCTGATGAGAATGACTAGGTTCCTCTACTTGTCTACTCTATTATATCCCTAATGAAATGGAATACCTATCTTTGGCACTTTGTATCTTTACAATTTTTTATCTTTCAGTTAACAATTTAGATTATCATTTAGCAATCCTGCACAAAGTTAATTATGGGCTCCAACTTGTGACTTCCTGTTGTATTTTATAGCTTATTTTTAATTTTTTCTTGAAAATCCCATCACAATCTTGAGCGTTATGTAGACAATTAATGAGTGCCACAGATAGGGAATTACAAGGCTGCAATTCACTCCAAGCATTGAGAAGACGTTATAAACCACAAGAGAGCAGTTCAAGTAATTTATCTGAACGTCATCAAAAAGCACAGTTTAATTACTCTTAGAATTCCCTACATGACATCTGTTATATTAAATCAATACATTTAGTGACTACTGGATATTTTTGGAAGAAAGATTGTTTCCTAAAAATAAATGTATAACCACTGTCTTGGTGATCAGGTCAGATTGTGTGAGAACATTTGTTGGTTGGAAGCAATGCCATGATGACATTCACAACTGAATATAAATGGCTGTAGTACTTCTGAAGGACAGAATGATGAAGGCTCACATGCATCTTTTTATAAACAGTAGTTTATACTAGCTAAAAGTTAACAATGTCATAATATTGTGCTTTCTATTGTCATATCAGGATAAGCATGTAAATTAGTATTACTGTTGTTAGAACATTTCGCCCACAAATATACAGTCAATTCACTTTACAGTCTATTCTATGAACCACTTTGAGACATCTAGAAGATGTGAAAAACCCTATATTAAATGCAAGAATTATTATTATTATAATATTGCTCTGTCATTTTATTTCTGATATTCAACTCTGGTATCCTTCCTTACACACACATTTCCCAGCTCCAGGAGAATAGAAATCATTGTATCCTATAAAGTATTTGTTCATATCAGACTGTACCTTCCATCTTCTAATATTATAGAAAAGGTTTTTGTATTGATGATAATTCTTGTTTCAAAAATTAAATTGTTCATTCACTCCAAAGCTGGTAGTGGGACATTGCCTTGTGCATATTGGTTTCCACATTTGCCCACAAAACGCACAGTCTCTGTACTTTACATTATATCATGCAAAGTGCTTTAGGATGTCCTCATGATGTGAAAGGTGCTATGTCAAATGTAAGGATTATTATTGTATTATTCTCTATAAACTTCCATTGCTATGACAGCAAAATCAGATTGGTACTATATGAGCTACTGTAACAGTTGGAACTTGTTAATGGTAATTATTAAAACATACTTCATCTTATTAGAAACGTAATTTAATGGAAATGTGATCAATGTCTTTAAAATTATATAATGCATAGATTATATCAATATAAGCAGACTATTTGGATTGTTAGAGCAGATCTAGAGGCCCTGGGTTTAAAATTAAAATGTCTAGAGATGTTTTGAAGAACTTTTATTCCGCGATGTCTATTGGATAAGTATAACAGAGTCCCAAGCAGCGCAGTTGATTAATTTGTTCAAAACAGAAATTAATATGTATTTGCTCGGCTATAATATTAGAAGATGGAAGGTGTAGACTGATATGAACAAATACTTTATAGGATACAATGATTTCTATTCTCCTGGAGCTAAGAAATGTGTGTGGAGGGAAGGATATCAGAGTTGAATATCGGAAATAAAATGACAGAGAAATATTCTAAAGTTTAACATTAATTAACTTTTTGAATCGAGGGAGTCTGTGGCTGGGTGAAGCCTGTGGAAGGAGCAGACATGATGAGTTCACGCTTGTTAAATAGTTATGAGCCGTCTCTTTTGAAACCCTTCCTAAAAGTGATGCTGTTCACTAACAGTTACATTTAAAAAGTAAATTCTAATGTAGATTATTTCATTTTATAGACTGATTCAAAGTTTTCCAGCAGTTAAGCTGCATTTAACCGGAGCTGTCATGAGAGCCACAGAAGTTGAATTTGACAAAGCAAAGGAACATTTGAAGACATTAAAGAATGACCCTGGAAATGACACCAAATTGCGAATATATGCTTTGTTTAAACAGGTAAAGCTTTTTTTTAAAAAGGAAAGCAAAGAAAGGTGAAAACTGTTTGAAAGGAAAATGTATGTAACATGCCTTTGTATTCTGCAGCATATGAAAATGCTGATGTAGCTGTTGTGTTCAAATATTATACAGTTAAAGAGCAATTAAGAGGATCACTGGAAAAGAACAGGAAAAAAAATCGGAATTGGCAAAGTGCAAGCTTTTCATGACTTCTTTTTATTTCTATTTCATCTTGTGTGATTTACTTTAGTATTTTCATCCTAGTTACAAGGCAGACCAGTCACTGGGGGCAGGGAACCTCCCACACAGCTCCAGTTAGCCCTGCAAGCCAAGGTCCTAATGGGTAGGGTGGTCCTAGCTGGCAGCGGGAAAGCTTGTTAAACAGTGCAATCTGTGTGGTTTTAGCTGGATAGACTCCAGCAGTACCCCAACCACACTCTGGAGTCCCCAAGCCTCGGCTCTTTCCAAACTGACCCCAGTACTTTCTGGAATTAGATAAGCAGGAGGCGTCCCTCCAGGGAGAGAGTGCACATTCCATTCCAATAAGCTATCTCTAGAGTTTCCATGTGTAGGTGGGATGCATGAAATTCTCAGTTTGGTTTGGATAGTCTTAAGCATGGGTTTCTGCATGTGTCAGACACTTGGCTGACAAAAAAAATTCCCTCCTCATCCTGACATTTCTTCCCTTGTCCCTCCTTCTCCCATATCAACTCGTTGGCCACACATCACATTAAATCTATGGAACATCATGTGGTAAATCTATGTAACAGGCTCCCTAGGGAGACAGTGGAAGCAGACAGCATTGATTCTTTTGAATGCAAATTAGATAGATTTTCTTTAGGAAATAATATTTGGGATACAGTATATGAATAGTTCAGGACACGATGTGAGCATGCGACTGTCAGGATGGTGGAATGTGAACTGGATGAACCTTGGTCTAATTCGTCTAGCATTTCCTATGTTGTTTGTCTGCCTTATTTGTCTAAATAACAATGCTGACTTTATTTCTAATTAATCCTGTATACTTAGACATTTCTTTTACATGAAGGGCACAACTAAGTATATCAATTCAAGTTACTATAAACCACATCATCAGAGTGAAAGCAAAGACGTGAAATGGTTGGTCTCCACAAAGAGGCACTAAATTGATGGTAGAGATTAAAATGCATATTGGGTTGAAAGCCTATTGACTAACCATGTTTGAATGCTTAAATGTTTTTAACAATAAAGATGTTTTTAACTATATAATTAACTAACAATAAAAGAATAACGAGTGATTCTCAAATTTTGATTGATTGATTACAATATTAAATATACCTGCATACATTTGACTATGGTTAGTCCATGTGCTATTAGCCCACCCTGTTTTGAATGCCATCCTTGTGTTCAGGGAAGATAATCTGGAGCCACAGGCAATACTGACTCAACACATTCCTTCCATCCGACACTCCCCCGTCTGTGCTGAGCAATGTTGGCAGTGGCCTCAAAAAAAAGTCCTGAAAAGTTCCATGCAGAATTTCAAAGCTAGCTCTCCATCACATTTCAGCACCCTCCTCATGCCTCTCCTCTTGAAAGCTACATTTATTTACAGTTAACATGTCCACATAGCAATTATCTTCTAATTGCGCTTGTTGAACTGGGGTCAGAGCCTCTTTCAAAAAATGGCTTCTGGTTGGCTACGGTCCTGCCTTGCTAGAGGTTATCAATGAAGAAATACAATTCACATGAGTTAATGTTTTGTCGCAGTTGTTTTCACAATCTTTCAGATCCCTTTACTCAAGGCCAATTTGGCTGAAATAATTTCCAGCTCCATGTGTTTACATGCTGAGAGATTCATATTTTAAAATAATGCATGAGGTTATGCTTTGTAATAAGTGTATTCGCATAGTTCTCTCTTTAAAATCTGTCTTGCGCAGTGATACACATCCCTTAGGAACTGTGTTGAAATGGCACAAACACATTTCATATAAGATCATGAGCAATTTTTAAATGATTTTAATTCCGTCTGTCTGCCTAGACTTATACCAACCCCCTAGTGGTAGTTTGTCTCTGGTGTGCCATTTGTAGGAATATTACAATCAAATTTGCTGCTTTAAAGCATATATGTTGGATTTAACAATAACTAGATGCATAATAATAAATTGTCTAGGTATATTTGTGATGAAGAAATGTTCATAAATGGAATGTATTTTTTGGTTTAAAATATGCTTTAAACATCTAAAAAGAGATTTCTTGTTTCGCTTTCTTCAATTAACAGGCTACACAAGGTTCTTGCAGTTCACCAAAGCCTGGTATGTTAGACTTTGTCAATAAGGCCAAATGGGAGGCATGGAATTCACTTGGTAATATATCTAAGGTAATTGATACTTTATTTATCAAATTCTAAATATGTATTTTTAAAAGTTTAAAAGAACAACAACAAATTGCATTTATATAGTGCCCTTCAAGTTGGGAGGATGTCCCAAGACGCAGGACAATCAAGGGTTTGCACCCGAGCTCGGGGTTGGAATCATGACGGTTGGAGGACAAGGGGTCTGCAGGAAGAGGATGACCAAAAGCACGGTCAAAGAGGAAGGTCTTCAGACGGGCCATGAAGGAGGCAAAAGGAAGAGGTGGGGCAAAGCGACTCTGGGATAGAGTTCCAGAGGGTGTGGCAGTAAGGCCGTTGGTGGGGTGGGCCAGGCGGTGGACATGGAGCAGGCCTGTCGAACAGAGGGAACAGGCAAATAGATAAGGTTACAGCAGGAAATATTTAAGAGCTTTTGTGCTGTTACTAATGACTGAACAATATCTTTATAAGGCTGAAGAGTTTTAAGCTGAAATTCTTAAGTGATCTTTAATATTTGTCTTTGTACTTTATTCTATCTCATTAAAAGATAGAAATGTTGTAATGTAGGATACCATAAATGTGATGGGAGCAGCGATAAAATAGTTATGGTGAATTATATCATAAGCGCTTTTCAATTTTTCCACCTTTTGATCATTAAACAGTTCTATTTCCGTTAATGCCCGGTAACTATAAGCTGTGACAGCATATTGCCTAACTAGGGGATCTCTGTAAACATTCAAACAAAATTTAATAATACCAGCTTGTAATCTGTGTTGTGAATGACCCAAATGCCCTTTGCCCCTTCTCAAGAGATAATGTTTAAGCAAGAGTTGGTGTGCTCCACAAACACTCCTCCTCCTCCCACAAGGCCCCATCCCCACCCTGGAACAAGTACAAATTAACAATCGAGACAGATGGGAACAATCAACAACTACAAGATACCCATTTGAACCATGCCATAACACTGGAAGTTTGAGCCATAATCGTGCAATTATTCACTTGCCACCACATCCTGTTGAATGGCCTAGTTCAAGATAGGGTGTGGAGTGCACAAGATCCTCAGCGAGTCCACCAACAATACATTGTTTGCAAACAGAAGCACCACAATTTTACCAGTAGTGGCTGGAACAGACACTGTTCCATCTCTTTCATTGACATCCACCTCATCACTAATGATATCATTCAATTAGGTGGATGACAGTAGGCAATCTTATCTTATTCCTCTTAGGAGAGAAAGGCTTGATAAGTCTTTCATTGATCCTTACATGGATCTTGAAACTAAAATACATCTTCTGAATAAAATCCACAATTTGGGCATGTACTCTCATAGTTTACATCTTATTCTGTTCCTCCCCTATCATTTTTTCTCTTCCATATGGATATCCTATTGTACATTTTACAACCGAAGACTGGCAATGGAAATAATAATATATTTACAACAATTAAGATAGGGTAAAGAGAAGAGAATTGGGATTAGCATGGTGCTAGTGTAAAAGCTGATAATAGCATAGGCACAGTGGCCTTAATGGCCTTCTAGACTGCAATTTCTGATGGGTGTAGGCCATGTTCACACAAGTGAATCATTGACAGAATAATTAATTTCTGAAAATAGCAGTTACAACATACTTGCAGAGTAATTGCTGTAGGAAATGCATTTCCCACAGCCAGCATCTGATCAAAAATTAAAAGGTGAGCTCTGCCAGTTTCCTCTGCACTTTCTGAAATCTAGTTTTAGAAAACCAATGGCAGAGATCTGGAAATAGGTAATTGTCCTTTCAATTGTACAATATTTATTATTTTGTGTTGGAGTACAGTACCTAAACAAGAGAAATAGTTAACTTACAAAAATATGTGTGTGTGTGTGGTGGGCGGGGGGGCTTGAATCATACAAGATTTTAATTATGAATTAAGTTTTAATATTTCATATTGCGAAACTGCATGATTGACTTGCACCAGATATTCTCTTTTCGCTTTAAACTCCATCAGTTTAAGATCTGCAGGATTTGCCCTAATGTGTTTGTTTTGGGAATTTGTAGGATGATGCTCGACAAAAATATGTTGACCTTGTAGGAACGTTGATCTCTTCAGAAGCCCCCATCCAGAAAGAAGCCACCACTGCAGGAGACCCAAAATCATCATACCAGACACTACAGGTCACCACAGAGAACAACATCACCACCATCCTTTTAAACAGGCCAGAGAAAAAAAATGCCATTTCCCGAAAGGTAAAATGGATATCATTCATAAATGTATTAAATCTAAATTGTACATATTATTTATTCATTTTCTTAGTCTCTTGGTTGTATCTATGGCATCTGGTTTTATTAGAGAAATCCAGTCAATTTTAATAAAATGTATTTTTGAGCATATTTATATTCCAGTTCTATGTTAAAAATCTGACTTCTCTATTGCCATAATTATAATTGTTTAAGTCTCAATTTTGTAGTAAAATTTTCAGTATCATTACAGTGGAATTCACTTTAGCCGGACGCATCGGGGCAGGAAGTTTTGTCTGATTTACCCTGTGTCCAATAACCAAAGTTTTTACCTTTCTCTTCTCTTCCCGCCATCTCTTCTGCTGAGCCCATCTTCCCTCCCGTTGCCATTCCCATTGGACAGGAAGGAGACCAATTAGTGGCAATCTGAGAGGCGTCTATCATCTTGGAGCTGCCACTAATTGGTCCCCTCGTCCACTGGATGAAGTCACTGCCCCCCCTTCCCAGAGCTGCTTGTGAATGGTTGGCATCAGCTGTCAAATGCAGTGTGACTCCCATCTCTATCTGGGAGACGCTCATGACACAGAAGGTCCGAATGAGTCCATTCAGCAGTGACCATCGTGGCATGTTGTCCGGATTAACCAGATGCTTGTCCGAACTAAGAGGCATATTTAAATTGGTAAGAATACAAATGAATCAGGGCCGGATGTTTCATCCAATTTACCCAGTGTCCGGCTAAAGTGGATTCCACTGTATTTTACATGGCAAATATGGGATATTTTTGATGCCGAAGTTGTATTAGTATTCCTGCTTAGTGTTTTGAATAATGTTGATTCTTTAGTTAATGGACACTGATCAGCTTTTTTGTCATGCGCTCTGGAAAAACTTGTAACTACTTAACATGGTAGGTGATATGAGAAGAAGCAGATCCAGAATTCTAATATCTGTTTTGTTTCTGGGATTTTATTTCTGACTCTTGTATGTAATTTAGATGTGGACATCTGACCACAGTTTTCTAATCATCTACTAGGTTGAGGTATTTCTACAGTTAGCTGGTGTAGTATTATTTTTTATTTGAAGAACAAGAAGAGTAATCTCTGGTTCTTTCACTTTTTGTAAGCAAGCCTAGGAACTGGCGATTGATCCAGTTTGTACTGTCTGTGCTGCTTTATTCAGTATTGAAGCAAATTTACTGTATAAGAATAGACTCCCTTAAACAATGTAATCAGCAACCTTTGAGTATTACAAAAAATTAGCCAAAGATAGTGATCCTAAAGGAAGAGAAAAGTATTGAGTGTGCCTGTATTATAATCTTCCATCATGTGGAACTAGTCTTATTGTTCATTTAAATCAAATAGATGAAGTACTTTTTCCCTTTTGAACAGAAATAAATGCAAAGAAGACCAGAAATTCTGCATTAATGACAGAATTTGGGGAAAAAAAAGAAGTAACCGGTCTTAAAATCTGAATAAAATTCCATAGGCGTATTTTTGACATTTAAGAAATCATCGTTATCAATGGTAAAAACTTAATTGGTCCTCGTTGATGGTTGGAGTTGAAAGCACTATTAGTTTGTTTTGTAATTTCTGCTTTAAGACCAGTTGTGATACTATTGATGCCTCTTTGAATAAACGTGGTACCAACGAGGCAAATTGGACAGCGAGTGTGGTGGAGTACTTGGTCCTTTAAGTGAAACTTCCTTTATTTTCAGCTGTTGAAATCGTCAATCATTATTTTCTGACTTGTAATCCAAAATTAGTTCTCTGTTCAGTGAGGTGCATCTCCTTATCCAATCTTCCTCTGCAGTTAGCATTGAGATATAGTCTACCCCCACACATGGCCGATCCTGCACATAATAATAATAATCATTGCATTTGATATAAGCCTTATCATGGCTTCGAGGTGTCTCAAAGCGCTTCACAGCATATACTGTAAAGTGAATTCGCTGTATATTTTGTGAGCGAAACGCGGCAGCCAATTGCGCACAGCAGTGTCCCACAAACAGCCGTGGATTGAGTGACCAAATTATTTTTTTTAAGGGATTATTATCCCCGGAAAAGCGATCCGCCAATCGACCAACACCCGGGTTCCAACTTGCTGCTTAGGTAAACAAAGGCATGTGGAGTAAGGAAACTTGCTAAAGGTTTCACTCTGCTGGAATCAAAACCACAACCTCTCGCTTGCTGGATTGAGAAAACAGCTCCTCTGCTTCCAGAAAAGATGCTCAATTTCAACAAAAACAACTCTTCAAAATTCCTCATCAGGAAACATGTCAAATCCTATCTCTAGATCTGTTTCTAGTGCTAGAAGCACTAGAAAGAATATTTGAGAATTCCCTTCAAAATGTATGGGGTGGCTTAGCCGCTAACAGGTTCATAGTGATCCCAGTCAGAACACCATATCCTCACATGTCCTGGACCTGTAGAACCATATTGAATATACCACGGCACCTAGTGGATGATGTACATGAGGATTCTTTAACAACAGAGAGAGCTGGGAAAACTCAGTAGTTCAGGCAGCATCTATGGAGAAAGAAAAGTGAGTCAACGTTTCGGTTCCACGTCCCTTCGTCAGAACTGATGGAAGTTTAACCAAAAGCATGGATCGGTGTATTTCAAGCTGAAATCTGGACTGTTTCATTTTCTATTTAAGAGTTTATTATTAATGTGTGTGAGTGTTTCTTTTAAGAATTTATTCAGTATTGGATGTATTTTATTGAATACATGCTTGCTTCTTAGCTTAGTGACTAGGGGTTAGTAACTTCAACAATCTCACCTGCAAGAACAAAAACTTTTTTAAATGTTAATTTTGAAACTAGCAAAGTTGTAATAATAAATGTGAAAGTTGTACTGGAACAACTCACTTTAATGAAACTGAATTATGCTTTACTTTAGCTTTCATCAACACTAATAGTACAACTTATAAGACAAACCCATACAATTACTAAAAATAAATAACTACAAGAAATTACTTCTTACAGTAGTATTTCCCAATTGAATGAATTGAACCAATAAATTAGTGTCTACAGCTATCGTGAACCTCTGATTCATTATGTGAAGCGAAAGTAACCCTGGAGCAATACTTTCAGATTTACCAAGGCAACAGAACAAGAATTCACAAGTTCAAGATTATGAAAGGCAATTTTAGAAGAACACACAAAATAAATCTTTAAACTGTGCGTAATCAACACCTGGAGTTAGGAAGGGTGAGTGGAGAAAGGATATTGGATTCTTAAGGTTACTACTTACTGATCAATGAGTTTACATTGTGGAAGGATAAATCATATGAACTTCTCTCTCTTTTGTGATTATAGCGTATGTGCAACTCTGCTATAACGTGGTGTCTTGGATCCAAAATATTAGACACCAAATGACTACAAAAATAAAGGGTTTTCAGTACTGCTTCTGGGTTGTCAGGTCACTGCTGATGTAATTTCCTGTGTGATGCACATGCCACATATGTGCAACTTACATATTTTTGAAAAAGAAAAGGGGATGCCAGCGATGCTTCTTGCACACAGCATGGATGCGCAGTACACAGGAAGCCATGCCCAGGGTCTCACAAACCCAGAAGCTGGACTGATGATTATATTTGTGGACCCGTTATAATTTAGTGTCTAATTCTTTGGATCCAGGATATCACGTTATAACACAATTGCTCTGTAAATATACAACAACTTATACTGATATAACACTCTCCACGAAGGGTAACGTCTCAGAGCACTTAACAGTGGCGGAGCCTGACTCCGACCCGGGGGTGTGTGACCATAAGCACGGTCGAAAAGGAAGATATTCAGGCAGGACTTGAAAAGGGGATAGAGGCAGAGGGATTGAGGAAGAGTGTTCCAGAATTTGAAACATTCCATATAGTTTCCATATATCACAATTGAGTCATATAAGTTCAATTAATTTGGGGAAGATATAATAGTCATGAATACTTAATTCTATACAATAAAACACCAGTTATGCACACCCCAATTATCTCCACGTTTACTTATCCATATTTGATCTTAATGCAGAGGTGGACACACGGCTGGGAGGTAACAGTTTTTAAAAAATCCAATTGTGAACAAGGGTATTCAAGATGTGATTTAAACTATTCTGTGCAAGTAAATTATAGGCCAAGTATCCTTGTGAATATGCTCATAACTGGATTTAGTGCCACAAGTTTTAAGTAAAGTGCGAAACAGAGTAGCTGAGAGAAGGGCTGGCATGATGTGATACGACAGTGACAGTACACCTTCTAATCGAATGCAATAAGGATGATCCCCAGTGCTGGAGGAATGAGTGGGGTGTGAGATGGACCAATACAAAAGTGCGAGTGCCCTTCTCCTGCGGAATCCGCTACAAACCCACCCGCTATAAATGGAGCTTCTGGCCCACGGGCCACTGTTTATCTGACGTCATTGTGGGCGGTGCGGCTCCGGACCCGCATGCGCGGTGCGGCGTAGGCGGCAAATGGGCTTCACTCGGGGGCTTCACTGTTGTGATTGTTTGTGTGTATCTGTGTGTTTGTATGATTGCCTGTGTGTACCTCTGTGTGTTTGTATGATTGTCTGTGTGTATCACTGTGTTTGTATGATTGTCTGTGTGTATCTCTGTGTTTGTATGATTGTCTGTGTGTACCTCTGTGTGTTTGTATGATTGTCTGTGTGTTTGTATGATTGTCGGTGTGTATCTCTATGTGTTTGTATGATTGTCTGTGTGTACCTCTGTGTGTTTGTATGATTGTCTGTGCGTATCACTGTGTTTGTATGATTGTCTGTGTGTATCTCTGTGTGTTTGTATGATTGTCTGTGTGTCTATCTGTGTTGGTATGATTGTCTGTGTGCATCTCTGTGTGTTTGTATGATTGTCTGTGTGTATCACTGTGTGTTTGTATGATTGTCTGTGTGTATCTGTGTGTTTGTATGATTGTCTGTGTGTATCACTGTGTGTTTGTATGATTGTCTGTGTGTTTGTATGATTGTCGGTGTGTATCTCTATGTGTTTGTATGATTGTCTGTGTGT